GGTGATGCTGCCAGAATTTGTGGAAGCATCGAATGGTTGGGTTGGAAGGGACCTTAAAGTCCCTCAGTGCCAATCCCTGCCATGAGCTCCATGCCACCACCAGCTTGGACTGCCCAGGGCTCTGCACAGCCTGGCACCCACAGCTTCTCTGGGAAGCTTGTGCCACAAAGAATTCCCTTCTGGCATCAAATCTAAATCTGCCCTCTTTCAGTTTAAAACCATCTCCCCATTTCCTACCACTGTCAGACCGTCGCTCTACCCGTGTTTGTAAGCTCCCTTCAGGTCCTGCAAAGCCACAGTGAGGTCTCCCCAGAGGTTTCCCTTCTCCAGGCTGAACAAGCCTGACTCCTTCAGCCTTTCTTCTCGGGAGAGGTGCTCAGCCCCAGAAATGCAGTGCAGCCAACAGCTGGCAGTGCCTCTGCAGCTGGAGAGCCTGGCAGGGAGGCCGACAGCCATCTCAACCCAGGCAGATCCCCGCACTCCTCCTCAGCTCTCTGCGCTCACAGCGACCTGCCCCAGCTCAGAAATGCTGCAGGGAAGGGAGAGTTTGTTCCCACCAGGGAAGGAACAGAGATGACAGGGCCAAATTTAGGCAGGGAAGTGTGCGCGTCGATGGCGCGAGGATGCGCTCGATTCCACGCGGTTGTGAAATCCTTTGCGTTTCTGGTGGGGGAGGAAACCTGGCAGGACAGCTTATGTAATGATTTAGCAACAGGTCCCAGCGTCACCCAGCTCTTTGAAGTGGGGGGTGGACCCGGGGTGCGACGGAGAGCGGAGGAGGGCGGTGAGCACTGCCCAGGGGTTGTGCGTGGCCACGTGTCTGTGGCACAGAGGGCACCGATGGTGGGCTGGGGCACGGGGACACGGCGTGGGGAAGGGATGCGGAGAGAGCTCAGACACCATGGGATGTTATTGACATCCATGGGATGGGATCTGCGTGGCAATGGCCCTGAAGGATGAGGTGGATGACCCAGAAGCTCAACCCCGTGTCTAAATAAATCTTGAAACCCGTTAAATAAAAACTGCTGTGAACGAGCAGCAAGCAGAAGATCTGTGTGAGTTGTGCTGCTCACGTTATTATTTAAAGAGACTGCTTCTCTTAATAGTGAAACCTACAGTGCTACTGATCAGAAGGGAGCTCATCTTGAGACAAGACTTGAGGCTGATCCACATGTCACACTTCACTGCGTCTGCTTTCCATGAAGAGCCCTCAGTGAGCTGAGCTTTGGGCAGGTATTTCCACGTCCCCTTGCAGACTAAACAGGGACAGCAGATTTTTGAAGGCAATGTGCAGCTGGGCATGCGGGCAGCTCGTGGGTATCAGTACAAAAGATGGGAGGAGGAGGTGGGAGATGTGATATTCTGTGATACGTGGCACCCACAGCCCTGGAGCGCAGCACAGCACAGCTCCTCCCTGTGACAGTGAACCAAGATGCCTGTGCAGGTGTGGAGAAAGCTGTGGGCTTTGTGACTGCTCCATCCATCTCCTGTGTTGCCCAAACCTGTATGTCACTGCCCAGGGCAACCTCCTTTGTCAAGGCTTGGTTGGATGCGCTGAGCTGCCTCACGGCTGTGTGTGTCCCTGCTGTCCAGGGGGGAAATCATGGAAGGTTTTAGGTTGGAAGGGACTTCTGAGGGTCCTGGTCCATCCCTGTGTTCAAAGCAGGGCTCACCCCAATGGCAGCCAGGCCGCTCCAGCCCGTGCCCAGCGGAGGTTTGGATCTCTTGGAGGATGGGGATGTTCTGATCCCAGGGCTGCACCTTTCTTATCATAAAGGCTTTTTCAGTCAGAGCTGCTTCTGCTTCAGCTTCTGTACAGCGTCACTTGTTCTTACCCATGGAAGTGAGAGGGCCTTGGAGAAGTCATGGAGGCATAGAATGGCCTGAGATGAACACTGTGCAGCCAAGCTGCCACACATGGTGGCTTTAGCTACAAAATCAGCCACATCATCTGGAGAACGGGCAGGATGGCAGCTGGATGTGGCTGCTGCTGGGCTTTATAACATTTCTTCACCCTTCCTGCAAAACTGAAGGATGGAGACCTGCAGTGTGAGCATGCCAAGGCTGCAAGCTGGGTTCACCACTTCTGTAACACCAAAAAGCAGTTTCTCTTTTCTTTAAAGACCCGGTAACTGCTGAGGTTGAAATACACAGCTAATTTTATTAAAATTAAATCATTAAGGACTGCTCTGCTGCTTAGGAATGGCTGGAAAAAAAACAAAACCCCTTACCTTCCCTCTGTAGATCAAAGTGCCTCATCTTCCTCTTGTAACAAAAACAGTCTGATGTTTTATACAAATGTTTGATGTAGAAAAGCAGAAAGGATGTTCCAGGTGTTATTAACTAGCAGCAGCCCTGAAGAATTTGTAACCTCTGATGTCAGCCAGGATAAAACGAAACAAAATCAGAACCTTTATGGGCTTTAATGCAGTTTTTCTGGACAGCCCTACTGGACGCCTCACCTCCTGGCAGTTTCCCCCTGCAGGCAGCTGAAGCTCCCTGTCTGAGCTCCTCTGCTGCCCTGCAGCCCTACGGCAGCACAGAGCCAGGACTGCGGCGCTTCATGGCCAAAAGGAGCACAGGCAGGGATGCTCCAGGCACCCACAGTCCAACACCAGCACACAAGAGGCAAAGCAGGCTCCCAGGCCATGCTGCACACCCACGGACTGCGCAGCCTTGAGGATGCTGCAGCAGCTGCAGGCAGCCCACGGGATCTCGGGGTCACGGGTGCAAAGCTTGCTCGTGTTTGGTTGTCTTTAAGGCGGCCAGGGCAGCCTCCCAGCAGGGCGGGAGGAGGTGGAGCAGCCCTGCCGAGGCATGTGCGTGTGCACAGGTGCTCTGCAGCTCCGCCAACCTCGGGACCCAGACATTAAGCTGTGATTTGCCTTGCCAGACGAGTTTTCAAAAGCAAGCTATCAGCTCCTGCTCCCAAACACGTGTCCGTCATAGAGTTTATCCTCTGCTGGAATTGAGCAACTCAATTCTCCTCTTGCATTACTGAGCCTTTCAAGCATCATTTGATAACCAGTATGAGCGCGGCTCCCCAGGAATTGCTTCATCTTTTGGCGTGTTTTGCCCTGCCAAAACTCAGTTTCAAGCTACCTATAAATTACGCTTCCCGCTTGGCTTTCATCTGCTCACCATGCAATGGGAGAGAACGAGGCCAGGATGTGCCACAGCAGGGCTGAGGACTGGCTGCAGGCACAGCATGGCAGGCAGCAGCCCGAGGAAGCAGAACAAGCACAGCCCACTGCTGGCCTGTATCAGGGATGGAGGGCCCTGCTGGCTGCTGCTGCCAGAGATTTGGAAGATGAGAGGAAAGAGGGCAGGGAAAGCTGTTTTGTTTTTTTTCTTGCAGGGTTGTGAATGGTTGAGAAAAGGAGCAGTGGGCAGAGAACAGCAGTGGGCAACGCCTGTCCTCACCAAGGAACTGCAGGCACAGACAAGGTGGGGAGAAATGCCAAGCTGCCAGCACTGAAAAGGAAGATCTGCACAAGCCAGCAGCTCCTGAAACCACCATGTGGGGCACCTGGAGGGGCTGGCATCGCTCAGACCTAAGGTTTGGGCTACAGAGCAGCTTTGCTTGCACGGGAGCAAGCAAATAGGAGGAAATGTCAGTTGCAGGGTAACAGAACTTCCCAGGTCAGTGCCTCTGGGTCTGTCATGTAAATGTGCATCTGCTGGAGAAGGCTGTGCCTGCTGAGGGTGAGGAGGAGCCAGCAGCACCAGTGAGGCTCAGGGAAGGCAGGTGTCAGCCATAGCAGGTTGCTGACCTTCTGGTCACTTTGGTTCTTCCATTTCAGTGCTGGCCTTTTGGCTCTGCTAACTGTGACCCCTTGGGCTGCCAGCCCACAGCAGTGCATGGGGTCGTTGTCACCAAAGCACAGGACCCAGCGCTGGGTTTTGTTGGAGTTCATCCCATTGGCCTCAGCACATCCAGATGCCCCTGTAGGACGCTCCTACCCTCAGGCAGATAAGTTCTAACTTGGCGCCGTCTTCATCATCCAGGAAGGAGATGTTCAGCCTTTCAACAACTGCTAAGACGTGCCAGTGGCAGCTCTTATCCTTATGGTGGGTAGCAGAGCTTGAAGCACCCTGTGCCTCTGAAGATGGAATTGCAAACACCCTCAGGGTTGGAAATCCCTCTCTGCAGGGCAGCCCTGGAGGGCTCTGCAGTCCTACAGCTCCTCTCCCTGGAGATGGAGGGATGGGACCAGCTGTGCAGAGGAGCACAGAGGCCACTCCAACAGCTGCTGCTCCCTGCCCACCCCCAGGGCACGAGGTACAGAAGATGGCAGCTGTGGCTCCAGTCCTACCCCAGGACTTGCTTTCTGCCCTAACAGGATCTTCTATCACATAAAGCAGTGCCACCCCAGCAGCCCCACTCTGCCCCAAGCAACACGAAGGTCTGAGGAACCTGGAGGACAGATTGTAACAAGCTTTTCCCAGCACGAGGAGTGGTCAGATTTTGCTCAGCTCCGCAGCTACCATCTCCCAAAGTCACAGCCCTACTGCAAAGAGCGATAGCAGAAGGGCTGCAGAACGGGTTGTAGTAATTTCTCTAGATGTCACCAAACAGCAGCACGCTTTCAGCCCCATCAAGGTGCCAGGAGTGGTTTGCCAGCCCACAGGGACCACAGCATGAGATCCTCGTGTGAAGCCAACAGCGAATGAGCAGCACAAGGAATGCAGGAGGGTTTTAGCAGCGCTGCCTGAGCAACACGATTCCTCTCTGCTATGCCAGCAACTGCGTGACTGCTGCAGGTGCCAGCCAAGAATAGCAAATGTAATGCCACACATTCACTGCTCAGCCCTACAGGATCTCATCAGCACCAGTAAATCCAAAGCTAGTGAGACCTCGCTGGTGTTTATCACTCAGCTTTGCAAGAAATATACAGGCACTGAATGTGAAAATGCTGTTCTAATGGAGCTGGATTAGCATTCAGAAGTGGCTGGGCCTCCTTCCCAAAAAAACGAACACATTTTACACTGAAACACTGTAATTTTACTGAACAACTGTTTAATGTAACGATCTGCTGTTCCTACATCTGTACAACATTGTACAAAATATAACCAAAAAACATTTCAGCCCCATATAAATGTTGCACTGGCTGTCTGAGGACCCAGTGGCTTTAAGACTCTCCTATTCTCTGAGATGCTGTCACGGAAACTGTTGTGGTGCCAAAGCTCCAAGGCACTGTGTGGTCACCAGCACGTTTTGGCTTTGCAGTCTCATTCTCCATTCAGTGATGGAATCCTCCAGCCATAGCAGAGGACCTTTGGTTGTACTCCGTACTTCTGGTCAAACATGAAAGATTTTTAACCTCTTTTAGCATTAAGCAGTAATATTCTAGGGATGCCACGAGGCAGGGACAGCTACGTTTCAAAGGTGACATGAATGTGGCAGCTCAGCACTGCCACATCCTTTTTTGTAGCTGATCTGCTCACGCAGATACAACTGGGTCTACATTTCCATTCATTCTTGTCCACCCACTTTCATTGCCAGTAGCACAGGCTCATGTTGCCCTGTCTGAGAATTGCTCTTACACAGATAAAGCCAGCAGCCCGAGCAGTGAGAGGTGAGATGGTCTCACACCTGTCTTCTCCACACAAAGTCTCGTTTTGGCCAATTGTTTTTCCCTCTCATCTTCAGAGTTTCGGAAGCTTCTCATTTGTATTTTAAAGGTCGTAGAAGAAAATCAGGATCACACAATTCCCAAAGCTTTTCCCCACCGTTTTGACTACGATGCAGCATCCTGTTCAAAATGCAACTACTGGATCTGAAAAAGCACTCAGACTATATTGCACATCTGAAAACAGACACGTAGCCTTTGTGCAGGGCCAGTGCTCAGAGAAAACCTTGTTCACACTGGAGTGCAGAGGAGGTTTCAGGAAGGTCCTGTCACAGGCAGGAGTCTGAAAGTAAGAGGAAGAGAAGTAACTCAGCAGGGGAACGGGCTGACAGGCATAATCCTCAAATGTTGGAGGGTCAAAAGGACCAGCATCTGAGATTTATTTGACCCATTTCTCCATTCATACAATCTCACCAAAGCATCCTGACCTACATACAGAAACATGTCTCAAACTGAAGGATATTTCATGATGAACTGAGTGAACTGCCCATGAAATGTGTCCATAAGTCCATTCACCCTTGGCCAACGGCGCTCATTCTGCACCCACATCAGGACCCTCGTTGACTCCGGCCAACTTAGAGTCACTCTTCCCTTCTCATTGCCTTTGGTCAACCAACCCCAGCTTCTCTCTCTCTGTTTCACCTTCCTACCACCCAAGTCTTCTTTCCTGCATCTCTTCACTGTAGAGAAATCTAACATAGATACTACCTTATTAAATGAAGTCTGGATATTTATTCCTAAGAGATTTGCTCAATGTCAATCCAAACTGCTGCACTCATGAGGAAATCAAGTATTTTTCTTTTTCCACATTTGCCTTTCCATTTCTGTTTCACTTTGACCACTCTGTAGGTTAATTAAAAGTTCCATAAAGCAGTCCAGACACATTCTGCATCTCAGGATACTGCTCCTATCAATACATACACCTGTATGGCTACTATTTTTAAGGCGTCCTGACACAATAAACGTTTACCTTGACACCACACGATGAAAGAAAGGGATGCTTAAAGACCATTACCTTTAACAATGAGGGAGGCTTTGCTGAAAGCACGGCCCAAATCATTGGTGGCTTCAACCATGTAGTCACCTTCATCGGCCTTGGAAGCACCGAAGATCACCAGGGAGCAGACACCAAAGTTGTTTGTGCCAAAGTAGGAAGGATTGTTGGAGAGGTCTCTGCCATCTTTGTACCACGTGATTTTGGGGGGTGGGTGGCCTCCAACCGCACAGCTCATGCGGCACTCGGTGCCAGCGATCACCACGTGAGGCTTCAGGGGGACGAGGAATCGTGGAGGCTGGTTCTGATTTACTCCCTTGTACCTCTGTGGTCTGACTTGAATGTCAGCTGGTGGAAGAAGGAAAAAAGCCTCGTACAACATGGCACACGCTCACTCAGGTGCTGCTTCATGGGGATGGAAGTCAGAGCAAAGGATTGGCTCAAAAGCACGGCAATTAACGTCTGGCATTCTGCACCTCCATCGTCTGAGATGCAGCACACCTGTGGATTGTAATTGCTGTTCCTTCTCAAACTGGCCAGAGTGTAACTTGCAGCCACAAACATTAGTTTCTGCAAAATTCAAGCCCTAGATGTTGCTGGGAATGAGTATCACAAATTACCTGACATGGCAGGAAACAAAGGCCTGCAACAACAACCATGGAGAAATGATAATCCTTCCCTACCAAAATGGAATTTCTTAGGGTGTTCTCTACACACTCTCATTTTGGGCAACTAAATGCTTACAGGAGGAGGGACCCATTCCAATGTGGTAGAAACAAGGAACACAGCACAACAACATCACACAGATGGCTATCTGTAAAAGCATTTTACCCTTTTGTTTTCGAACTCTCCAAGGCTGCGCAGTGTCGGATGGACGACTGGATCCCAAGTAATTTTTTGCCACCACCCTGAAGTAGTAATCCCTGCCTGGGATCACACTGGTGTACGTGAACTTGTTGGTGTAGATCAGGTCACCCACCACGTGCCACACGCCCTTCTGTGATTCGCGTTTCATGACTGTGTAGTAGAGATTGCTTTCCCATTTCTCAGATGTTGATGGCTCCCAGGTTACTGTCACTATATTTGGCACATTCTCTCTCAGTTCAATAGGTCCAGGTGGTTGTGGGATATCTGTCAGATGAAAACAAGCAATACAGGAGATGCAGGAAAAGCTTCAAGTCCATCACGTATTTCACGATTGAGCTTTTGGGAGACACCCTGGTCATCAGATGGGACAAAATTGGATTCCTTCTCCAGATGCACAAGCTTGTTTGTTACTAACTGAGCTTCTGCTGCATTAGACCGAACTGCTGGGGCTCCTTCCCTTCTTGTGGATAAAGGTAAGAGAGCTGAACTCAGTCCACTGCCTACCACATATTCACCTGTAAGTCCGTTATGCACACAAACACAGAAATGCAGGTGATAGTTACCCGTAACTTGAACTCGGAAGCTGAATGTTTCTCTTTTCCCTGTCCCACTCGTGAGCTCAACAGTATAGATGCCACTGTCAGTGAACTCAGCTGCTTTAATCAGCAGCTGGGAGGTACCATCCTGAGTGCTTATTTTAGCACGGCTTGGAAGAGAAGCTCCATCCTTTAACCAGGTCAACACAGAATCTGGAGGTGCCTGTGAAGAATAACTCTGGTTACAGCACAGGTGCTTCGCCTCCAAATGACAGTTCTGTTACCTCATTAAAATGCACCCCTACATGACACAGCTAAGGGTTGCATTGGAATATCAGAGATTGGCTCTAAGAGCCCTGGATACAGAGCTGCTCAAGAGTTTCTCAGTACAGGTACAGCTGTCAAACAAGGTTTGCTAGATCAAAACCAACAGACATCAGTATTTTCTATTTTCTACTTTAAAAAACATTTGCTTGTTTCTGAAAGAAAGAAAAATGTCCTTGAAGTGCTTATTTCTATTTCTCCATCTTTGGGCTCTACATTCCAAAAGAGCAGCTGAGTTGGAGCAGGGTCAGCAGTATGCACACTTTACCTTCCACACTCCTCCTGATATCCCAGACTTCACCTGTCTCGTTCCAACCTTAAGTCACAGCACACTGGATTTCTGTAAGTGACAACTTATGCCCTGCTGTGCAGGAAGACAAACACAGTCAAGAGAATGTTGCTAGAAGTGCTACCCCCAAAGGCTTTCTGAGGGAGCTGGAGATCAGTTCCAGATGGTGGTAACTCTGAGATGGTTGGACGGAGAGCATTCCAAGCACTTTATTTGCTGGGGTTGCTGAATAACTATAAATCTCATAAACCACGAATGTCAAGAGTGACAGCTGAATTCTTTTTTCCTGTTTTCCTCATGCAGAAAGCATACGCAGCACAGGCAGATTAAAGGATTTGCCCAGTGTCTTGTACACATGGAAAAAAAAAAAAAGGATTTCAATCTGAAAACTCACCTCAAAAGGAATATTCACTCGAATTGCGTTTCCTGCTTTTATAAGCAGGAAATTTTTCACTGTTTTGTCTATTATGAACCTGGGAAAAACTGGAAAAGACAGTGATTACTGTAAACAGTTTTATGTTATGACATAATCATCAGCTGACAACTCAGGTGCATGTGCTAGCCTTTCCAACAGCTTGTCTGCAGGCTGTTGATAAAGAGCAGTACAGTAGAAAAAAAGTTCCTTGATTCACTAGCAGAGTTCTTTGCTAATCACTGCACCTTTCATGTTTTATTGTTTTTTACCTAGCACTCTAATTAAATGAGAGGAAAGGATGTTCAGCTACGTTCACTACAGTGTTTGCATACATCTGATGTCTCAGCCATGGAAAAAACTATGGCATGCTTCACCCCCTCACACGGGTGATCCTCTGTGTAAAATGACACGAATGCAAAAAGAAATTGCAATGGACACTTATGGGGAGCTGGACTAAGAGCACTTCTTGATGCTCTCAAAAATTCTTTGTGCTTTGAGGGATCTTGAAGAGGAATAAAAGCTGATGTGGAGACTTACCAACGGGACGAACGACTTCAGTGAAAGCTTCAAGCTCTGTGGCTTCTCCTGGGCCACAGTCATTGATGGCTCTCACACGTAGGAAGTACGTCTCCTTGGTTTGCAGGCCTTTAATTTTGTAAGTGGTCGTTTCTATAGGAAAAATGTTGCATTTGGTCCAGCTGAGGCTGTTGGCAGACCGCATCTCCACGTCGTAGCCTTTCGCACCACTTCCCTCTTCTGCTTCAGGTACGTTCCACGTCAAGGTGACACTGCTGCTGTCACTGATGGTCATCTTAAGGTCCCTCACTTTACCTGGAGGTTCTGAAAAGGGAAATTTCATTTAATCTGTTTTTCTGGTATACGTGTACCCTCTTTTCAGTCACTTCCTGAGATCCCCAACGTTCTTGCAGTGCATTGGATCTCCACTCTGCACAGGGCATCCGCCATATCCTGACTTCAACATCACACAGGAAATCCTTCCATTCCTCTCTCATGCAGACAGCGCACGCTCAGCCATGAAACATTCCCCATTTGTTATCTTCACATACTTCTACATAGCACTGAAAACACTGCCTCCTCAGTAACATCCCAGTCTCCATTCAGGTACTCCCAAGACAGAAGGATGGTGGCAGTTCACTTACTTGTGGAGTCCCGAGCAAAGGCAGGTTGTGATGGTGCACTGATATCTCCCATACCAGAAGCATTGACAGCTGCCACACAAAATTCATATTGCAGACCCTTCTTGAGATCAGTTACTTTCAGCTTCTTGTCTGCAGACAGAAAATGAGAACGTTGGCTTGAGTGAGCAGTTCCCCAAGCAGAAAACAGTGAGACAATGTTGTACTTTTAATCCATGCAGAACAGTAGACTGAATCCTCAGGAGTAAAGTACAAATGCAGTCCCAAGTTCCCTTGTCTTCTCCTATCCTAGAGCATGCACACTTCTGAGGCACATTCATTGTATTCTATTCCAAAGAAAATATTCTTTGAGAGCTATTAAGCTACAGACAGGACAACATTGCTTTTCCTTATAGGATAATCCTAAACTCTTCTATATCAGAGAAGAGCCTAGCCTGCACCTGATGGATATAACAGCACATGCTACCTTCTGATCTCAACACAGATGAGCTCTCAGCCTTTTTTCAAGCCTTTCAAACTCGTTCCAGGGTTTGAGTGAGCCACCCACCTGCTATGGGCACACTGTTGACTGGCACCCAGGTCATGCTGCCCATCTTGCGTTTCTGAACGATGTACCCCGAAATTCGGGAGCTCCCAGTTTTCCGAGGTGCTTTCCAGGATATTGTGATGGTGTCTTTGCTGACACCGACGATCTCAGGAGGATCTGGGGCACCAGGTGTAGCTAAGAAAGACATCAATGTTTTATTATTAGAATGCTTCTAGTGAAAGATATGGAAATACACCTGCTGGATCATTTCTTCCAGGTTTCTCCAATGTATTTATGTGGGTGTGTTTTAAAAATCTGACTGAGACCACTCTGATCACTTTCATGCCCTCCTCTGGACCCACTCTAACAAGTCCACATCTCTCCAGCACTGGGAGCCCCAGAGCTGCCCTTGACCTACTGACCACACTCTTTTTTATGCAGCCCAGGCTATGACTGCCAAGCCCAGATTTGTGTGAACACTTCACAACCATGACTCAGGTTTAAATGTGTAGCAACATCCAAAACACAAGCAGTTTTCTTGACGTGAAACTCTGATAATGAATTTCCCATAGGGTTCTGGGACACCATCACAACAAGTTATTCCTCACCTTTACTGATTGTCACCACCTCATTTGATTCCAGTGCATCGCTGCTTCCCTCTGCATTCACAGCTCTCACTCTGAAGTAGTAACTCATGTCCTGTTCCACTTTGCTGGTAGTGAACGTGGTGCAGCTCCTGGGGGTTTCTCCCAGAGTCACCCAGTCGCTCTTGCCCACCTGCTGTTTCTCAATAACATAGTTTTGTACTGGTTTGCCCCCATCATCTTTCGGGGGATTCCACTGAATGGTGACATCATTGGCAGAGCTTTCTACAATTTTCAGGGGTCCTGCAGGTCGCTGTGGCTTGTCTGAAAGATAAACCACAAGCAGCTCAGTTCCAGATCCAGATGCATTCCCAGGCTTGGAGCAGACAGTCTCACTCACCAGCAGAGACTCAGTTTCTGATGGTACATATGCCTACTCGCAGATTGAAATCCAGGCACTTAAGCTGTCTCTTCAAATGTCCACTCTCCTAATTTTGATAAGGGAGGAAGCCAGGCCCTTGCTCCACGGGCTGACTGTTCTCATAAGCATTGCACAAAGAGTACAGACATTTGTGGCAGGATTGAATTTGACCTTGATGTTGTGTCTGTAGATTTGCCTGCTGTGTATAGCCCTACCTTCCACAGTCTCCCAGCATTCAAAACTCAATTAATGAGGCTGTCCAAAATGAAACCAGACACGTGTCGCATTAAAGGGCAAGTAGCACGTCAACAACCATTGCCTGCATCTTGATCTATTGGAAACACAGCCTTGTTCACCCTGGAATAGCTGGTAGTCTTAAGCAAGGCTGTGACCAGAAGTACTGGTTCTGCTCCCTCAGCCTTATGATGGAAGCCATCGTAGATGTGATGGGGATCTTACCTATTACCTCAACCTTTAGGTCAATATCCAGGATTCCACTGTCATTCTTCAGCCTGACTTTGTAATCCCCACAGTCCTTTCTCTCTGCATTGGAGATGGACAGCATGGTGAAGGTGTCTGTTTTATCAACACGAATCCTTGAGTCATCTCCCAGTTCTATTTTGTCCTTTAGCCACATTGCTCTGACTGGAAGCCGGCCCTCAAAAGGGATCTTGATCACAACTTTCTCCCCTGCCTTGGCCACAGTAGGAACGCTCATTAAGTTTTTTAGGAGAAATTCGTTCACCTGTGGAGGATCTAAAACAACAGTGCAAGGTCATTAAAAACTGCAGATCAAAGAGGATAAGGCTAACCTTGGAGGGAAGGACTTTCCCCCGTTCATTGCTGCTCTATATTCCAAACATACATTCCAAATAGTTTAATTTGGTTCTCTGGGGGGCTTATCCAAATCAGTCCATGACACTGCAAAAGCATGTACCTTCACCTTCATTTGTACACTCAGTGCTTCACACTGTGCACTTTGCTACAGGACAATTTTCAAATAGCATTTATGGCATCAATTTGCTCCTTCGCACGGGAGCAAATTTTCATCAGCAGCACAAGAATGAAGAGCCTGGTTTAGTAAAGCAATATGTGCACCCACCAAGTCTTTAAATTCATAGTGAGAAGCTTTGCACGAAGGCTCCACAGTTACATTTTTATGTACCAGCTTGTTACATCTCCCAGATACTAATTACAATTAAATCCCAATAGCCAACAATGGGTCCTGAGTGAACCTGCCCCATTTCAAGCACTGCAAGGCCAGCATTCTGCATTGAAAGCATGGGTCGTTTGAACAGACTCACCTTCAACAAAAATTGAAGCTTCAGTTTTTATATCTCCAGCTTCAAACCTATACTTCCCAGCATGAATGTCTTCTACTTTGCTAATAATGAGTTTGTGGACTAGACCTTCCTTCTCCAAAGTGACTCCTTCCATGCTTGTTAACTACAAGATAAAGATAAAGAGTACTTTCATTCTTAAATTAAAATAAAAAGGAAACATTTATGAATGTCACACATGTTTCATTTCAATATTATCCTGGGATTACGTACCTGCTGACTAATTCACCACTACAAAGGCTTGAATCAAAGTTCATTACCATAAATAGAAGCGTTAATTGTACCTCTGCCCCTAAAATACTACTGTCACCAAAGCCTCTTTTTCTATTCTTAATGCTAAAACTTTGGTCCAGGCTCCAGGATGGCACCTTGGAACTTCTGACAGTATCACACAGATCCCACAGTCTGACCTGGGTTGTTTAATGTTCTTTTGGGATATAGAATATGATGCCTACACTTGATTCTAAGCACTAATCTGAATGAGTACTTCTGGTGTTATGCCTGCCTGAAGATCATTTGAAGGTTTTCCTTTATTTTTTGGGTATCTCTCTGACACACCAAAGAAAAGAAAAAGGATTGCAGCACAAAGAAAAGCCCCATTTCATCGCCACCTATATAAAAGAATCATAGACTGGCTTAGGGTGGAAGGAACCATAAAGGTCATCTGGTTCCAACCCTCAAATGGAAAACACAAAGGAAAATCCAAAGCTTCCTAAGGAGGCAAGGATGGAAATGTCTTGAAGCAGGAAGGTGGAAAAAATCTTGGTGAGTTTCTAACCAGAATATTTAAACAGTCTCCTGCAGAGGCCTTCTAGGACCATACTCAGAGCAGAGGGATGGGCATCTTGACATGATACTCAATGAGAAGTGAAGTCAGAGAGCAGGGCATTACCAAGTGAAGAAAACAGGCTAGAGGACACTTACCTTTAACCCATCCTTAAACCAGGTTCCTGTTAAGTCATGTCTATTGACAGCACACGACAGCTCAGTTGGTTCCCCTTTCAGGACTCTGACATCAGCTAACTGCTTGTTGACACGAGAGCGTGGAGCTGAAAGTTCAGACAAGAAAATGTTGAAAAGAGGCTAAGTCTGTCTTGCACTGACAGAAAGTGCAATGAGGAGAAAAGACAGTTTTGGTTTTTTTAAATACATCTACCTCAGGCATAACACGTTGTGGTGGGTTTTTTTTAGTGATGATGTTGGCCAGCTGCACTGAAGGACATTCTAGTTGGCTGCATACAATACAGTCCTTGGATGTACAATACACTTCTTGTGTGCTTCTTGCAGTTCCACTAGGCATGTGCAGCCCCCCCACCATACACATAAGTTTTCTTATTTTTACAGGTTTTGATGCTGTCATCTTGCTAGTGCAGCCACTGTTAACATTCAAATGGCTGCATACACAACATTCTTCTTTCCTGAGTGTTCTCTAGCCTCATGTCTCCCAGTCTCTACAAATATAAAGGGCTGCACCACCCGAAATGGAGGACCCAGAGCCTGTTCTTGTTTGTACCAAAACGCAAAGACCAGTGGCACAGAATTAAACACGTACCTTTCAGATCATCCAGGTGATGACGTCTTCTGTTTTCTGTACTTTCTGTACTCTTCAAGAAATCACCTGCTTTAATATCAAGGCTAGGTCCCTGTTTTCTCTGGCTTACTGAAGGACCACCATGAAGGGCTGACATCTGATCAGAACCCTGTGAACTTTGACTGAGAATACCTGGCTTCCACCCACTAAACAATTTATCGTGGAATTTGCCCTCTGCACCTCCAAAGGAGGAATCCCTGTCGTAAGGAGAGCCTGACTGTCCTAAATCCCTGGCCTCAGCCCTAGCATCACCTTGACTGGAAAGTGATTCTCTGTCGTGGGATGAACCTTTGTGCTCTGATCCTCTCAAATCACTGGCAGTCCCCTTCCCAGCTTCACCATATGGAGATTTGCCAGCACGTGAGTCCAGCCCATACTCACCAGCCTTTCCAACAGCACCAACCACACCTTCTTTACCATGGACTGAGTACAACTCACTCCCATCACCTCCCAGTCTGCTAGCACTGCTTTCCCCAGCCCTGGATCCAGCTGACCCATGTGCAGATCCAGCACCTCGTATGGCAGAGCCACCAACACCCCCACCTTCTGAGGATAAGGCAGCTCCTCCTGCTCCACCCAGAGACCCTTGAGCTCTGCCCAGCATAGCATCCTGACCATGGTGAGATCCCATCACTTCTTCGCCTCCTGAAGGAAAATGAGCGGCTCCTGACCCAGCTGCTGCTGAGAGACCATCTTTTCCATAGGAAGAGCCAGCGTCCCTTACACCAGCTATACTAACACCAGCCCCAGCTGGGAGACCATCCCTCCCATATGGAGACCCAGCTGCCCCTGCTCCAGCTAAACCTGCAACACCAACACCAGCCCCAGCCAGGAGACCATCTGTTCCATATGGAGACCCAACAGCCCCTACACCAGCT